CGAGAAATTTCAATTAGGAGTACAGTTACACAAAGAAATTAATCATGGAAACTATTTAATGCAAATTGATTGGACAATATCGCATGTTTACCTTATCATCTGCATTAATTTGTTTAATTTATCTTTAATTTTAAATCAATCCAATTATATCATGACAAATAAATTTGTATAAACGGGGTTGTATAATAAATTTGTACATATTCTTCAATTAGTACAATATTGTATGTGATTTTTACTTCAAGATCAGAGAATTACGAAGTTATAGCTCAATCCAGAACCAGCTCGACTCAATCGATTGTCTAACTCAGCATAAGCTCGTCGAGTTATAACTCTACCTAGTACAAGCTAGTCGCGACTAATCCTTACGGTTGTTCAACCAGCTCACAAATAACTCTAGATCCCGGATATCTCAAAAGGGATCAAATCGACAACAATCTTAGCTCAATTGCGAGAATATCGAAGTTGCATGTCAAACTTAATTGTCATCTCTTTATTTTCGCTCTTTCCTTTGTACAAAATCCGTATATAAACCCCTTTCAACGATGAGAAAAGGGTTAGCAAATTATTTTAGGATTTTTATTGTAAGCTCTCACAACAAATACAAGAACAGTGGATGTATGCTCAAGAGTGTAACTCGCCGAACGACTTTAAAACTGTCTTGTCATTTTCTTTATTGCATTTATTATTAATCCATTGTTGGTTACCTGTAATCACGCACACATCAATTTTGATCCCATTAAGGTCGATCGGATTGCTCTGGTTGGTGTATTTTTGCATCAATATTTTGGCGTTAGAAGGAGGCCCTTTCTCCAAATTTCAGAATTTCTGGCAACCAACCCAGCAATTTGATCACTTGAGGCTCACGATGGTTTGAACCAGATCAAAGACCACTATCGAGAACCATGACAATGTGGAGACCATCCACCAGGAGGTGCATCAAGACGTCGTCGGGCGTCGACCACCAATGTCACCGATGCAGCAAGCCACAAACCAATTGGGGGCAGGGACGTTAAATCCTGAGAATGGCCAATTGGTAGAGATGGTCAAAATGATGGTCGCACAAGCTATGCAACATAATGTGGTCGAGCTGAGAAATCAGCAACCAGTCCTCTAGGATATTGACCAACCACGCTTTACAGATGCCACTCCGACAAGGCGACACTTAGTCAGCAACCAATCTGGTTCGTCGGCACCAAGGCATGACCAATGACCTTGGCACCACCGAGAGCATTCTACAAAAGAAAGAGAGTCTCGTGGGCAAGCTAACCCTAGAAGGTGACTAGGCAAACAACCCATAGGAGAAAATGAAGATAATGGTCTCTAGAGGGATACCCAACTTGCTTGACAGTATCCCTAGCGTCAATGTACTGGTTTTAACCCATGCCCAAGACAATGTCAGTCTTCGCAAGCTCGCAAGACAAGTCATGTGCGCCAATCCGGCAATGAATGACGCTTTGGTTATAACCAACGTTGCGAGCGACGCACTAATGAGCATGATAGCACATACCAGCCCAGCCATCATGACTCAACCTTGCACATCAATATGCATAATGAAGGGGGCTCACAAGCAAAAGATTTACGAACTCACCTACTTGAGGTAAGGCTAAACAAAGCCAACCAGGGCAATCCTCACAATGAAGACTTAGATCGTGTGCAGAAAATGCTCGATGATCTAAGAGCCCACCAAAACAATGCAACAAAGGAGATAGTGAGCTCTCCCTTCACAGAGGAGGTTCGCTAGGCCCCGCTTCCCCAAGGATTCAGGGCGCTAGAAAGTAAGTTCGATGGGAAAGGAGATCCCAAAGACCACCTCAACACTTTCAACGACCTTATGGAGTTGCACTAAGTGTGTGAATTAGAAAGTGTCGCTGTTTCGCGGTCACATTGGTAGGGGATGCCAAGAGGTGGTACAAAAGACTCAAGGCGAACTCCATTGGTTCTTGGTAACAATTCTCCTCGCTGTACTTGCAACAATTCTAAGAAAGGACATAGTTCGCAATGCTGCTCAGCTACTTGAGCAACATTCGTCAGGAAAGAGATCAAACACTGACCTCGTATTTAATGAGGTTCCAAAACGAGTAGGCAAAGGTTGCAGATGCATCTGAAGAGTCAATCTAGACTTTGCTAATTGCAGGTATCGGGCCGTAAACGGAGCTATGGAAAGAGCTCCAAAGTGAAGATCATGTGAGCTTGGCAAAGTTTTACTAGATGGCTACCAAGCATCAGTGAGTGAAAAGCTCGCTAAGAAGAGCCTCAAACAAGCGATAGGATCACCCAACAAACAAGCAGAAGGGCCAAGACTACAATGACAAGGACCAGAACATGTCTTAAAAGAGATAGGGAACAGATAATCGCGGGGACAGGCAGCCTTTCCCGCTGTATACAAAATACACCCCCCTCATGCAAGACATAGCTCATATATATGAAGTTTCCCATGAGGCTAAGAAACTGCCCATTCCAGAAAGAATGAAGGGGGCTCCAAGCAGAAGAGTTCAACAGAAATATTATCGAAACTACTAGGACATCGGGCACAACACCAATGAGTGTCGGGCTTTAGAGAACACCATCAAAGATCTGATCTGAAGGGGCCACTTAAAAGAATTTGTTAAAAAGACACCAGTTCGTGAAAGTACTGGCAAGCAGAATAACCAAATCTAGCAAGCCCTGACCAACGCCAACAATGAAGTCCTAGTAGGCATGATCTACAGGGGTCCCAACATTATAGGGAGCTCAAGGCACTCTTACGAGCAATATGCTCGAGAGGCCAAAATAGACTCGGTCCCCTAAGTATTGAGATGTGAATAGAAGCTGTCGAAGTGGTCCAGACAAGAGAGCAAGGTGATAGGATTCACAGTGGATGAGTGTGAAGAATCTCCTCACCATAATCATGATGCAATTGTAATTGTAGCAAAAAAAAAAAAAAAAGAAAAAAAAAGATGATGGTCGATAATGGTAATGTAGCGAACATCATCTTCTTGGGAGCTTTCTGAGAAACGAGGTTCATAGAGAGAGACTTGAAGGTGTGCCCATTGCCGCTCTATGGATTCACTAGGGACAGCCTACTCCCCAAGGGAACGATCGACCTGCCCGTGACCCTGGGGGTAGAACCTAAAATCAGGACGGTGATGGCAGAATTCTTAGTGGTGGATTGCCTAACCATATATAATGTCATCCTCAGAAGATTGACCCTAGATGATCTGAATGTAATCACTTCAGTACGTTGTCAAGCAATGAGGTTCTCGACTTGAGGCGGGGGTGCAACAATCAGAAGTTACAGGAAAGAATCTCAAGAATGTTACAACCGGGCCATTAATGCTACAGTCAAATGGCCGCTATCGAGAACCATGGTTATTGTAGAGTATGAGCCAAACCCGGACCTCTGAGGACACCATAGATCTTCGCATCCATAAAGAAGAGCCTGGAGTAGGGCCGACAATAGAGCTACAAGAAATATCTTCTATTAGAGAGGAAGACCCAACTTGCGTGTTAAAGATTGGCAGCAATCTAAACAAAGAAATGGCCGACAGTCTGGCGGGGTTTCTAAAGAAAAACATTAACATATTCGCATGGGTACACAAAAATATGGTGGGCATTAGCCTCGAGGTAATGTGCCACTGATTAAATGTCAGCCCAATAGCTCAACTAATCAAGCAAAAGAGAAGGTCTATGGATGCAGAGCACTCTAAAGTGCTCAAAGATGAAGTTGACAAATTCCTGAACATTAACTTCATCAGGGAAGTGAAATACCTGGACTGGCTCGTCAACCCAATCTTGGTAAAAAAATGGAATGGCAAGTGGCAGACTTGCATCGATTTTACAGATTTGAATAAAGCTTGTCCCAAAGACAGCTTTCTGCTACCTCGGATCAACCAATTAGTAGATACGATAGCAAGGAACGCACTACTTAGCTTTATGGATGTATACTCGGGATACAACCAAATCCAGATGCATTAGCCCGATGAAGAATACACCTCATTTATTACCAACTACGGTATTTACTGTTACAAGCTTATGCCATTTGGCTTGAAGAATGTTGGGGCGACTTACCAGCATTTGGTGAACAAGATGTTCGTCGAGCAAATCGGTAAAACAATAAAGATGTATATCAATGACATGCTCGTCAAATCAAAAGTTGTTGAAAGCCATGTTGACCACTTGGGGGAAATGTTCGACATCTTTAGAAAATACAAAATGAGGCTCAACCCTCTGAAGTGTGCTTTCGGAGTAAGCTCAAGAACATTTCTAGGTTTCTTGGTCAATCAACGAGATGTTAAAGCCAACCTAGAAAAGATTCAAGCTCTCCTAGACATGAAAAGTCTGACCAGCATAAGACAAGTTTAAAGCTTGACAAGGCATGAGGCCGCTCTTAGTAGATTTGTTTCCGAGCCGCAGACATGTGTCTACTATTCTTTGAGACCCTAAAGGGAAGAAAGGGTTTCAAGTGGACAGAGGAGTGCGAGAAAGCATTTCAAGAATTGAAGAAGCATTTGGGGCAGCCTTCTTTGCTATCAAAGCCAGTGCAAGATGAGTCGCTGCTTCTATAATTATCGATATCTAAGTCTGCAATGAGCGCGACTTTGTACGTGGAGAAGATGGAGTGCAGTGGCCAGTGTATTATGTGAGCAAAAGGTTGCTCAATGCTAAGACCAAATATGTTGAGATGGAGAAGCTTGCCTGTGCACTTGTCATTGCCGCTTGGAAGCCATGGCCCTATTTTCAAGCACACTCCATACATGTGCTGACGAACTTTCCATTAAGAAAAATAATGTAGAAGCCCAAGGCATCGAGCAGATTGATCCAGTGGATGATGGAAATGAGTCAGCATGATATAAAGTTTATCCCAAGAACAGCAATAAAAGGTTAGGCTTTGGCAGACTTCATCTCAGAATTTTCCTATTAGCCCGAGGGAGAATTAAGCCTGCCAGGGGTGAGCACCTCGGAGGTAAACGAGTAGCAGAAACCAAAGCTTGAAAAGCTATAACAGTGGACTCTATATGTAGACGGGTTCCCAAATGAGAAGGGCGCAAGAGCTAGGCTCTTGCTTGAAAGTCCAGAAGGGAACTCGATTAGAGTCGCACTCAGATTTAGGTTGGTTGCCTCCAACAACCAGGCAGAGTATGAGGCATTGCTCATAAGAATCCGCCTCGCCAAGGAAATGGGGGCAATGTCCATCAAGATCTATAGCGACTCTCAGCTTGTAGTACATCAGATTTTTGGGGAATATAAGCGAATAAGGATAGGATGGCATCCTATCTCTGACAGGTGAAATATGAGCTGGAGCAGTTCGAGTCTTTCATTATTCTTCCAATCCTAAGAGAGAAGAATTCGGTCGCCGATGCTCTAGCTCACCTAACTTTAGCAGTGAGCCAAGAGAAGACTGATTCGATACTTGTTAAATTCCTCCCAAGTCCAAGCAACCTCACCCCCTAAGAACCAATCTTAGTAACAGGGTAGAGATACAACTAGATGGATGCAATAATTGTCTATCTAAAAGAAGGAACAGTGCCTGAAGGAAGAAGTGAAGCCAAAACACTCCAAGCAAAGTTAGCTCGATACCACTCATCAACGACAAGCTATATAAGCATGGGTACAATTCACCGCTCTTGTGGCACGTCTACCATGAAGATGTGGACTATGTTTTGAGAGAGATCCACGAAGGCATCTGTGGGAACCATGTAGGGGGCAGATCTCTAGCATACAAGGTGCTTCGTCAAGGCTATTACTAGTCAACAATCTTTGACGATGCAACAGATTATGTGCACAAGTGCGACAAATGCTAGAGATTTGCAGATGTTTTGCAAGCTCCACCCCAAGAGTTGACTACTTTGACAAGCCAATAGACATTTTCAATTTAGGGCATCGACCTTATAAGCCTTATGCCACAAGGAAAAGGGGCAATTAAGTTCGTGGTGGTTGCAGTGGACTACTTCACAAAGTGGGCAGAAGTTGAGCCGTTAGTTGCCATCACATCGAAGAAGCTAAAAGATTTCGTCTACAAAAACATCATTTGTTGGTTTAGAATTCCCCATACAATAATAACCGACAATGGGAAACAGTTCGATAGTGAAGATTTCAGAACTTTCTATGAACGGCTTGGTATCAAGAAGAGCTTCATTGCTGTTTATCGGCCTTTAGCCAACGGTCAAGCAAAGGCTGTGAACAAAGTGATCAAGCACACCATTAAGAAGAAGCTTAACGCCTTGAAAGGAATATGGGCTGAGGAATCGCCCAAGGCCTTTGGTCTTATAGAACGACAGCTAGAAGCTTGATAGGAGAAACCATGTTCTCTCTATCATACGGGTGTGAAGTAATGGCCCAAGTTGAAATGGGGGTTAGTTCATTCCACAGGGAGGTCTTCAATGAAGAAGTAAATGAAGATCTTCTCTGACTGAGGCTAAACCTTATTGAAGAACACTGAACCAAATCTCAGCTAATGCTTGCCTTATACCAATAGTAAGTTAGCCAATACTTTAATTCCAAGATCAAGACAGTGACTTTGAAGTGGGTGACCTAATCTTTAGAAAGGTTGTCCAGGGTACACAAAACCCAAACTTGGGGGCACTTGGGCCCAAATGGGAAGGTTCATTCAGGATCTCTGAAAAGCTTATACCAGGAACCTTCCACCTAGAACACCTCAATGGTGAAGCCGTACTACAAGCATGGAAAGCCAAGCATTTGCGAAGGTATTACCAATAAGCACCCGAGTTCCAATCATGATTTGTTTTCTCTCATATATTTGTTGTAAGGTCGTCTATGGCCAAAATATTATTAATAAAAAGAGGTATTATTTATGAACATTAATTTTTTCGTCATTTTTTGTTTATTTATTTGTAGTTCGTCATTTATTATCTTTCGTTTCAAAAATTGTAACCTACGCGATCACATCCAAAAATTCAGAGTCAATAGTTCGGAAAAAATACAGCTTAGCTTGATAAGCCACACCAAAATCCAACTCATTAAAGGTGAAATTTCCCAAATCGATGAAGGTACACTTCAAAAAATTCAAGTAAAACACGTCGAAGGAAAATCGGTCATTTGCCAGCGGCTAAAACATGAGATGGGCAATCAGTCCAGACTCAGAGTTGTCACACAAGATTTTCTTATATGCATTTGAAAAGTTCCTCAAAAAGCGAGCTATGCGTAACTTGGAGCAAATTCAAATTATTCATGATAACTCCAATTAGGACGATTAAAGCGACTCTGCAGAAATAAAAAATTGCTTAACAAATATATGCAAAAAATGTCTTTCATTAATTATAAAGTTTAGTTACAAACTAAACTAGAAAAAAAAAAAAAAGATACAAAAAAAAGAAAAATTTCTAAGCAGTTGGAGGAGCGGTGGCATCGTTGCCAACATGATCAAGGAGTTCGTCGCCAATCTGGGCAGATGGATCATCAATGACAAGAGTTTTGGCAGCCTCTCAAGGTTGGGAGCCAAGACATCCTATTAGAGTAGGTGCCCTAGAGCCAATCCAATATTATAGAATTGACTCTTTGTAATAATGTTAATTAATCAATAAAAGACATTTTATTCTATATCCCGTAAATCATAATGGTATGTATTGATATATGTCCTTAGGATGGTAGAACCATGACGAGGGTATCAAGTGTGTCAAATCTTGATAGTGAGAACCCTATGATCACATATGGTGGCCATTCTAGAAATGTCCGTAGCCCTAGTATTATTCTGACCAAGCGCATAGATAATACGGTAAGGCTATCATAGTGTTGAATGACCCTGTTGAAAGATATCGACTGATCTCGCTTGTCAAGGTTGTTTGTTGACAACCTGGTGCAGCGTATGGGTGCTTGTTGTAGGCAAGTTCACCTGACTAACCCATTAGAGGATTCCATATAAATGATAACCATAGCGTCTACGGAACAAATCCCCTAAAAAATGGTGGTGCATGAGATCCTTAGACTTGAGATCACTAGAGCGCCTTGTGCACCGATTGGTGTATTTTGACACTAGCCCAACGTAGTTGTATTTAGAGCTATCAATACGGTAGTGATTGGCCGCATCAAGGAGTGTATCAAGACTATGGTGGATCGACAGAGGATTTATCACTCCTGAGTATAGGAGAAGTTATCTCATGGTGCAATTCAGTGAATGACAATGATACTAAAGTTGTGGGCACAATGGGATTGAGTTATTGCTTAATCCAATTTATTATTCCAGTTATTGGTCCAGTAACTGAATACAAAGATATCGAGGATAACTGATGTTGACACTATTTCTGTGCCTCAGCCTCGATGAGATAACAGATGATGAAAGGATTTTATTGCACAGTAACCATATCGTTGATAGGTAGCTATTTTGCTGAATTCAAATCTATCAAGTGGCCATGATGCCTTACTAGGGCCAATCTTGGTCTGTGTGTAGTGAGACGACTGATTGGTGTCAATTGCAATACTACTACTGCCGATATGATAAGGAGTTTACGGGTAACACACTTAGAAGACAATTTAAGGATGGTAAATTTTGGAAGGGTGTATCTGTCTTTTAGACAAATGGGCATATTGGTAATTTTGCTGTGTAATTGAATTTATTGAGGTTGTAGCCTATGTCCAATTTTATTATTAGAGTAATTTATCACAATTATAAATTTAATTATTAGAGTTAATATTAATATTTATATTAATATTTAACTAAATAATTAAATAAGGGTTAATACGCAATTATACCTAAAGTTTGGGTTGTTCCTAAACTTGAGGGGTGGAAGTGATATTTGCTCCATTATTTAAAGAAAGCAAAAATAGGTTTTCACATATAATTTCATTCCAGCCGTGGGAGATAAATTTTGAAGAGAAAAAATTCTCTCTTCTTCTCTACACTCAATCTTCCAAAACACAATCCTTAAAGCCAAGAATTAATTCTAGCAAAATTAATTCTTGGTCACTGATGTACTGTCTTCGTGTGGACGACATGAGTTCAATTCCATTCTCGAATTGATAGCGAATCAAATTCAAAGACACTGACGGAGTTTGCAATCGTAGGTATATATCAGACCCTGATGTTGGTGAAATCAGAGTAATCGATGGGCATAAATTTTGTTTTTTTCGCTTGTTCATCGATTTACTAACAATGGTATCAGAGACTAAGGTCTTCATTGTATATATTTAAACTATTTTTTTGATTGATTAACTGAATTGATTGCTAGAAAAATGCATGTTTAGGTTTTTCAATCTATTAAAATTGCTTAAATTGATTAATATATTAACTGGGTTTGTTGAGGAATTCACATTGGATCATTTTTGTAATACACGCGCATGTACAGTATTTTGGAAATAGCGATTTGCGCCACAATATAGTTGTTCTACATCACAGCGTAGAGTTTCGTAAGCTTGGAATATGTAAATGCGCTACAGCAAAATGAAACTTCGCCACGGCGTGATTACAGGATATGTTGAGTGACTAAGAACGCGCACTTGGGCCGCAGCGAAATAAAAGTTTGCCGTAGCATGCTTACATAACGTGAACGCGCAATCGTGCAATTTGAGTTACAGTGAAATAAAACTTCACCGCATCATGAAAGCATCGTAAAATCTTACAACGAGCATTTGCGCCGCAGTGTAATAAAACTACTCTATGTCGTCAAAACGACGAAATGGTGCAACAAATCGCAAAATTACGTGATTGTGCCGCGCCATAATGAAACTATACCATGACGCAAATTCGTCGTCATTGTGCGAGTTGCTAGTTTTGGCCATAGCGAAATAAAACTTCACTGCGATGCATATTGGTTCTTACTGTGCGCCGCGACATAATAAAACTATATCACGATGTGAATGCTACTGTAGCATTTTTTCTTAATACTGGATCAATGCGTAATTCTGCAAATTCAAGAGGGTAATTTTAATACCCAATTCAAAATTGATTGTGTTAAATATATGCAATAATTCTCATTTGAAAAATTGCATGGTGCCCAGTACGTGAGCCTTAGACCTATGGTGAATGTTTTAAAGTATATTTTTGGGTATGTATGATTGTAAATTTTTAAATAGGGCCAGCATGCCCGGTCTTTCTCCTCCCTTCTTGATGTACATTCTCTTCTCATCTTATTCCCCTCGAATGTAGCTCGAGGTTTCTAAATTTATTGATGTAAAATTAGTGTAGTATTAATTTCACTGTAAATTTAGTATGATGTATTTTGTAATGTACTTGAAGACGGAGCAAGAACGAACCGATCATACTTGAAGACTCAAGATATTTATTATAGAATTCCTAGGTGACCCATCGATTCCTCTAGGCTTGAGGAAACCAAT